CCCATCTGTGCCATTCCCTCTTAGAAACCATCAGCAGCAACATTTTTCTATTTCTTAAATCCTCAGCATTGATAGAGAGGTGAAGTTAATGGCCAGATGGGATGAAGTCCTGGGAGCGAGGGGGCAGTCTTCTGCATATTAAACACAAAAAACAGCAATTAGTAAATGGGCTAATTTGTAATTCAAACAGAGTCTCCTGGGTCTTTTCTAAATGAATGTATGTATGACAACTAGTTTCTAAGGTTACATAAGGTTAAGCTCTTACTGTGCTGCTAAGTGTGACATTGAGTCTGCACCTTGCTGAAGAAAGGAAGTGGTTTGGGTCTTTCATCTGGGCCAGCGAGTATCGCACCATGATCAGTCACATTTTCCATGCTGAGCACCAACAACAAAAAAAAAAAAGGGGGGGGCTAACCACTTGACTATGTTCTACATCAAAGTTCTCATATCATGTGTGTGATCTCTAAACAGACACACAAAGCCTCACTCTGTCATGTTTTCCATCGGCTGACATTTATAAAAAGGAAGACAGTCGTCTCAATCCAGCTCAAGATCTCGTGAAAGGGAGAAAAGGGTTGTAAAATGAGGTTTCTTATCCTGTTGAACATTCAAAATGAATAATAAAAAGCTTATAACATCTATAAACATTTAATCGGCAGCTATCATTTTAACATCCACCTGCTCCCAGTTTCATTCTACAAGATGGTACTTTCTTTCCATTTCTTACTATAAGAAATTACTGGTATTGATGTAATTTTGTGATCTGTACATATTCATGTAAAAACAAAAATATGCACAAAACAATCCAAGCAAATATCTTGAACTGCCACAAAAACAAATATAGTTGTTTTTTTCACTCAGAAGACAGAGCTCCTTGTTCAAAAACTGAAGGTAGACGATAGGACAAATATTACCTCATGTACGATATTTGAACACAGGAAACATCAGTACATAAATTAGACATTGTGGTTAGTTTAATTCAGTAATTGCATGATGACAGAATAAGAATAAGTTTATATTTAGCCAAGTTATAAAGCATGTTGTTGAGTTTACAGCCTTCATAAGTAACCCTGTCTCCTGGAATTTATGTTTCCATTAATTTATAAAACGTTTTCACACAGTGCCAATTGAATTACATTTTTAGCCAAGCTAGCGGCAAGGCTGCAGGGATGGTCATTTCGGTCTGGTTGTTCCACCACTTTGTTCCCGGCTGAAATATCTCAACAACTATTGGATGGATTGGCATTAAATTTTGTAAAGACATTCATGGTTGCACAGGGGACGAATAGTATCAACTTGGTGATCTCCTGACTTCGAAATTTTAATTTGTCAAATATTTTGGTTTATGATCAAATACCTGCAAAAGCTACGACATTCCCATCATCCACTGCTGTACTTTGTGATTTGTGCTAATGAGCAAAAGTTGTTTTTCTTACAAGATGCAAAACTATATCCACTTGTAGCAATGAAAGTATGATGAAAATTTTCTTAGGTTGTGCTTAAATACTCAAAGCACCTGGTTAATGTTCAAGAAAATGAGACAGGACGTGTTTACTTATTAACATTTAACCAAAATCATGGCCATTCCCTACCCCTAACCAAAGAGCTTTTTCAGACAAAACCCAACCAAACGTGGGATTCAAGATATGAACCTGGGTCTACACACTTTGTACAGCCAAACATCTACCCCAAACCTCATCCCATACTGTTCCACAATGTTGCCAATCAATGTAATTCAGGCAGCAATGTTTCCTTCGTGACATATTTATAAAAACAAATTAGTAATACATGAACATAATTTCTCGGAGGCAGGCTGTTTCGATTCAGAAATCTTTGATCTACAGTAATAAGCACGAGTCCCTCTAGGAACCAGCACGACTTCCAGGTAATGCTGCTTCACTGTTCCTGATCATCGTCACTAACATGTCATCATGCAATAACCACACACTCCTGATCAAAACACCAATCTCTGATCAAATCATTTTCACTATTTTGATGGTCTAAACTTGATTCTTGGTAATCCCTTCAGTCTTTTGTGATGCAGCCCACTCAATCACTTTGTACTGAAAAAGAGCCTCTTATTACTGCAGATCAAAAAACTCTCAGTAAGAGAGAGAATATTATTCTGCCTGTGTGACAAACATTTGGCCAGATAAAACCAGCCACACAGGCAGAACTGGTTGAATTTACATAACTGCTCAGGTCATGCTGCATCCAGTGTTTGAATTCCCAACAGATCTCTTAAATGTTTGCTCTAAGTGTCTGCTTCTTATTCATCAACACATATTTCTAGCCTTACTACTGAATAACAATATCTAAATGTTTATTAATGTTAATAATGTATTATTTTCCACATATATACGTTCTATTGTTATATAACTATTCCCCAATACTTTTTACGAGCTAACAAAAGCAACCTACGAGGCAAAATTCTGCATTCAAAATCCCACTTAGGTAAATGTATAGATTTATCATCAGCTAAATGTGTTTAAAATAGTTTACTGATACTATTAGATTGTTAATTCTGTAAATGTGTAACCAGAACTTTACTGCTGAAGTTGGTTGAGGTGGAGCTGGTTTGAATGACTTTAAATAACCTAAAGGTCGTTTAGCCCAGTGGTTTCCGACTTTGGGGTCAGGCTCCTCTCAAAGGGTCACATCATAAAACCAGGGGTTGAGGGTGGGGTCAATTTTATTTACATATGCAGCCCAAAATAACACATTTGCCTCAGAGGGTTTTCTTTTCATCCTTGAAAATAATTCATTTTATATTTACCTTTTGGATTTTACATGATTCTTTAATCATTTGGTGATTAGAAATCACAAAACACACAAAAGAAAAACAAGACCGTGGTAAATATTCTTGTTTTGTGGTCCTGAATAAAAAAACAAAAACATCAAACTTTCTCCTCTAAAGGCACGGGTGCTTGTTCACTTACCCTTTATCACACAGTGAAACAGGAGTCGCTGGGAATCCAATCTGAATAGGCTTTGATCAGCTGTGTCCATTTAAAAATAACTGTACAGGGGGCTAATAATAGCAGCAATAATACATGCCCCGCATTGTTTGAGGTTGCCAATGAGGATAAATAGAGAGCTCCGATTATATTTGGGGTCTGAAGCCAGCGAGACCCTTTAACCGCAACATGGGTCCTGTCATATGGGACTGTACAGTCAGCCAACTTGGCACTTGCTTAAGAGCGCTCCTGCCAAAGACACCTACTTATTACCACCAATAATGTTACTTCTCCATCCAGCACACAGGTCATTTGTGTTGTCTTACACAAGCAAGAATCTCTCTTCACAGGCCATTATGCATTTCCAGCAGCTTTAAAAAGAAAAATGAGTTAAACCAAAGAGTAATAAATAATATGAGACTGACTCGTCACATTGGCACACTGCCCCGAATGTCTGATGTCATTTCACTTGATCTAACTCGGGTTGCTTAACCGGTTTTAAAGGGAATAATAACGAGAACTGGTACTGTCAGGTGTGTTTCATGGCCTGGTTAATATTTAAGTTAAACTGAGTCATTTACAGTGTAAACCACACTGATTCTGCCTTTAAGAGTGCTGTGACATATTGCTGTCAGCAAAGTCAAACTTGCTGTAGGTTTGGATTGTTCAGCTATGTAAACTCCTCGCAAGCGATTTTAGTGATAACTATAACTTTGGGGGAAACTAGAAAGAAACTTGACAGACAAAATTAAGCAATATCAAGATGAAGAAACGGAGGGAATAATAAAATCTAGAAGTGGTTTGTTTGTTCAGGAAGGTGCAGATATCATCTAGTGAACTCAGCAAGCTTTTGAATGATTCATCTGGAAAAAGCTGACCAGAAAGATGTGAAGAAATTTAATCAAAGTCGAAAAGAATTCACGAGAAATTAAGATGCTTCAATACGAGGAAATCCAATATTGTAGCCAAGCTATTGCAGGAAGTGTTATTATCTCTGCTCAAAAGGAGATGTTGTTCAGTCTTGGCTGTCTGTCTGTGTCTTTGTCTATTATATACTATACTGGAAACTTTATACATGCTGAGATTTATATTTGACACTAACGATGATGATATATACATGTTAAGGCACAGTTTGTATTTATAACTGGAAAGCACAGTATATAATTTATCATTTGTAGTTACAATAGATGTTTTAGTTACAGGGTGACATTTTTTTCAGACATATGATTGATTTAAGTGTTCAGAGTGATGGTGTGTGGAAGGAAATGTGGCTGTTTATCTTGTTCTAGAGTACTATGCAAAAACTTTTAGGCACATTAGATGTGCCGGATAGTCCGGTTCTGCTCGAGGTTTCTGCCTCTTAAGAGGAAGTTTTTCCTTGCCACTGTCGCCTAGTGCTTGCTCTTGGTGGGAATTGTTTGGTCTCTGTAAATAATATTTACATATAAATGTATTGTATAATGATACAAATAAAAATTGACTTGACTTGAGATGTTTAGATTTGTTAATTCAAACCCAAACACACAGTCAGAGTTATAAAGAGCTACTAAAAACACTGACCTGCACCACTAGACAAAAATATTTTCATAGTAATTAAATAATTTACTCTCATAAGCAATGTTATATATCATCTATACATATAGACACATGTCTAAGAGGCTTTTACTTTATTTCCCTCTGCCACTTCAGTGTAAAACAGCTCTGTTATGTTCTTCTAAGGCTCCATTTTACTGTACAGTAAGAGTTTACGAGCAGCACGTGAAGGCACCGTGGCTTCTTCCTCGAGCCTCCTGGAGAGACTTTTGATTGGCTGCCAGTGACATCATCGCTGCTCGTACGTGGGACTGAAGGCAGTTCAAGCGACAACCAGCCCCCCCTCCCCTCCCCTCCACTCACTCCGCCCTCCCACCGCACCCCCTCCACACCAGCCACAGAGGCAGACAGCTCGGCCAAATCCCTCCCATCACAGGGCCGGACCTCACTGTACAAAAAGGATCAAATTTAATATTAATGAAGTCGCGCATTGGCTCAGAGTCGCGTCAATCCGGCTGCGCGACTTCTGTAGGCTGGCAGACTTCCTTCAATATTATTTCTGGGGGAGCAGGGTAAAAGTACTAAAAAATGTTGCCGATCCACAACACTGGGATGGACTGAATGGAGGCAACGTTGTCAGCGAGCGGAGATAATAAATCCGTCTACAGTCAACCGCGACACACACCGGTAAGCAGAAATACAAGGCAAGTTTGGTGATTGGTGTCCAAGGCACAAGTTGCCGTTGAAATGCACAGTCATAGAGATTTCACGCGATTCTATAATTAATGAAGAGGAATATCAAATTGCTGCAACCATTTTGGGCTGGTTAGTGTTTATTATTGCTGTATTATTATTTCCACCACATGGCTGAAGTGTTTTATCACAGCGTCTATCTTTTTTTTTTATTCCACCATTGAGCAAAGTTACAATCCCAGCCTTTGAAATGCAGCCATTGCATATTTATTTTTTTATTTTTTATTTTTTATTTTTATAATTGATGATGGTGTGAAATTGGATTTCCTTCAGTGTTCAGCTCATCTGTTCAGTTCGTCTCGTCCGAAAGCCATATCACATTCACGGCACGTTCTCATGCCGGTTTCTTCAATGAATTTGGCCATGAATGATTTCTGCTTCAGCTGAACCTGCACCGTGCTTAAAGGACGGCGATGGCCGGGACAGGCAATGCTCGGCGGGTGTCTTTACGTAATGTGCCACGATGACATGCTTTTAAAATGCTCAGGCTGGTGATCAAAAGGAAATGCCACCCCTCTTTTTTTGTACCCCGACTTTCCATTTGGGGGAGAGAACAAACTGCGGCGTAGCGTTGATGCAGTATTTTATCTTTTTTTTTTCTCTCTTGTTGTACAAGCTTTGGATCAGACAGACTAGAGTTGGGGTGAAAAATTCAATATCACACACATATACAATATCTGGAGGATGATTCATATTAATTACACTCAAAGTGATTCAGTTACACAAGACTGTGATGATTTCACTGTTTATTATTAGTGGCCAGTTTGTCACATCTAAATTTTCCCACTAACTTGGGTGTTGCCCTGCAGGTGTTGACACTACTAATATTTGGCTTGAGCAGCCGTTTTCTAGTTTGCATGTTGATCAAACAGACAAGAGGTTGGCCTGTGTGCTCTCTGCTTGTTCATTCACAGCCTTGATCTGAGTCCGTGGGTGCAGGATTCATTGAACTACACTGGTTTTTGGAAAGATTGTCTCCCTCATCTCATATTTTGACTTGTTCTTGTTCCCCACAGAGTGGCTTGTTGAGTTCTCCTTAAACGTCCAGCCCTCGGCCTCCCCATGCCTCCATCTCCTCTTGACGACAGAATTGTGGTGGCGCTGCCAAGGCCGATCCGACCTCAGGAACTCCAACTGCGCCTGGACACCAGCTACCTGGACTCCTTCGCCACCAGCAGCAGCAGCAAGACAGTCATCAGCACCACCGTGGTGAAGATCCGGGCGACGGCCAATCTTGTAACGTATATGCCCTCATCCAAGGGCTCCACGCGATCATTGTCGTGTGGATGCAGCAGTGCCAGCTGTTGCTCTGTGACTACCTATGAGAAGGACAGCCAGAGCCTCAGCCACAGCCAGGTGAGCGCCAGCAGCCCCAACCTCAGCTATGCCGGGCCCCCCACCTCAATGGTCAGCAACCATGAAGCATTAAGCGCCCCCAGCCTCACCCCGGGCACTCCAAAAGCCGTATCCACCGTGAGGGTCATCCATCCCAATGAGCTCGCCAAAAGGATGACCTGCTGCCCCATGGGACACCCTGTAGGGCCTGTGCCCGTCATCATCGACTGCCGGCCCTTCATGGAGTACAACAAGAGCCACATTCGGGGGGCAGTGCACATCAACTGTTCCGACAAGATCAGCCGGCGGCGGCTGCAGCAAGGCAAGATCACTGTGCTGGACCTCATCTCCTGCCGCGAGGGCAAGGACTCTTTTAAGGGCATCTTCTCCAAAGAGATTGTGGTTTACGACGAGAGCACCACAGACCCCAACCGGCTGACATCCTCCCAGCCTCTACATGTGGTCCTGGAGTCACTGAGGAGGGAGGGCAAGGACCCCATCATCCTCAAAGGTAACATTTAAGTAGGTTTATCAAAGCTCAGAGGTGCAAATGCCTGGACTACTGAAAAAGGAAAGAAGGCTGTCCAGAATAAAAGGGACAGAAAACCACAATTACATGGGCTTTAGTTTAACTCTGGAGGGAGTAAACCAGTTTAGACGTCTGAAAGCATGGCCTGATGTAGCAGTAGTATAAGTTTAGTGGCAATATAAACTAATATGAAAGTGGTGTGGTTGCATAATAATGTTTAGTATGTGAGTAAAGCCTGTTAAACTTTGACCTTTATTGTTTTTGTCAGCTGATGTTGCCTGTTAACACACTGGCTGTAGTATCATCCCATCAGCTTTGTAGTGAAGCATTACAGCTACAGTTATAATACCACATACAACAGTTTTTGCATATACAATCAAGCCTATGCACATTCTGTCTGCATCACCCGCATACATAAACATATGTGCACACTCTTCAACAGCTTTCTATATGACATATTTTAAGCATTTTGCAGGGAGTGAGAGGCAGCTGTTGGTAAATAAGGCGGCCTGTTGAGATAGCAGTCCCTGGGTCGCTGCCATGTTTTCTATCTTTGGTGTGTGTGAGTGTGTTTGAAGCTGGAGCAGTGTGTCGTGTAGGGGGGCAGGGCTGTGAGTGTTTTCTGAATGCCTCCCAGTCACCGTCCAGCCGTATGATCACGGCACCTTGATATCTTCTCCTCTCTTCGCCCTCTGGTCCTCCTGTGTACTTTGATGGACGAGGCTCCTCTCCAGTGTCTCATCCTGCACCGGCGTCTGTCTGAAGCTCGCCCCAGTGGGAGGAACAGGCAGACTGTCTTGTTCCTTTTGTCGCCTGGTTTAATTCTTGCAAAATGCAAGCCATCCTCTCTGCTGGTGGAATCAAATGGCTCAGCCTCACTTTTATATCTTTTTTATATAGTACTTTTTAATATCAGCAATGGCCAATATCTCCCATGTGTCCACATTTATGTGTGTATTTGCAGCATGGATTTCCTCTGTGATCAAACATATTGTGTTTATGATCGAATGGACAAAACCAGCCCTAAGCACATTTATAATATTTGAGTCTTGATTCCATTAAAATTAATATTTTGAATAATCTTTTATATGTTTCTAAATATAATGGTGATTACTTCTTCACTTTCTTAAAATATCTGAGGGCTTTCAATCTCGGGAAGTAGGCAGGGGATTAGTGTTATTCCAAGCAGTAGTAATAGTGACATATTTGGACCATGTATGTACAGTATGAACGCTGCTGAATAATTTACTCGCACTCCATTATTTGCTGTTACCAGCAGCTCTTAGTCATGATTTATTGTAAATATGGTCATAGTGTGATAAACTGGAAACACAAAATCTTCTGTCCCTGCCCCACTGCAGCCCTGAGCAGTGATAGGTTACATTTAATCCGTCAGAATTGCCATTAACAACATGTCAGTAGTGTCGGAAGGTTTAGGGTAAGCTTTGGAAACAGCGGGTCTGTGGTGTGAGAGGCATAGTGAGGCAGAAGCGGTGATTTCTAAACAGGAACTGAGCCACTGGCTTATGAAAGTGATAGAGACACTTTTCATGTTTTCCTCTGTGAGTTTAGTCAGAGATAATGACAGACGGTCACACTCCACAGATTTCATCTGACAGCAACGTGCTGCTTCTGTTATTCTCAGTCTGCTATGAAAAGTGTTATTTTTCAGTTCAGTTTGACCTGAAAAGAAAGATGCTGGTTCAGTTTGAGCCAAAACAGGAAGCAGTTTTCACAGTTCACTGTGTTTCTAGCTTAGTCACTAGACTGTTTGTGTGTGCTTGATAAATGTTTTGCAACTATAAACAAATTATAAACAACTATATTATGTATAACTACATACTGTCAATGTATTGGCATCAGTACTAGTTGGTAAAGTAACATGAAAGTGCAGAGATACATTTGAGGTAGTTTAAAAACAGTGTTTCCATTACATAACTTATATAACGGGAAGTTTTTTATTGCTAACATGTTACCAAACTGTTGCCTATTGCACATCCATCAATCACATTAGGAATTAATGGGAGTTACCTGATGAATAACAAGCCCAAAATTCACTCTTGTAGCTCTGATTTGGTCTCCACCAACTCCTGATGAAAATGTCTTGCTTTTCAGCTGCTTACTAATTTCACTATGTTCACAAGCTACTTTGCCTGTCTGATGTTGAACAGGTACAAGTACAGTGGACACCTGCAGCTTTAAACAAAACTTGTTGAGAAAAACCTGTTGAAACTGAACTAAAATAGTAAAAACCAAAACAATGAGCTAAAAGAGGTAAAAATGCTTCGTAGAGTTGAGGCAAACTACTGAGTCAGGTGATGATTCTATCAGGGTTTGCTTTTTAAAAAAATAATAAATATATATATATATTAATATAGATTTTGGCCTCAAAAATCCATCATCAGCCAGGGTGTACTTACAGTAAATGTGGCACATTATCCATGTTGAACTAACACCATGAGCAGCTACCTGTAATGTTAGAGCATTCGGGACAAAGATATGCTTGATACTGTATTGAAAGATAAATATTGCTGGTATTATGAAAATTCAGGCAAGGATTTTTAAATTTTCTCTAAAACGGATTTCATTAAAACAGCTCAGTCCTTTGAGCTCAGAGTAAATGAAAATGTAAGAAAAAATATCAATATGAGTGGAAATTCCCCCCTTGAGCTTGGTGTCACAGCTCTTGTATATAACTTCCCTTTCTTTTATTTATTATAGAGTAATTATTAGCACTACAGCCCACCATAGTGAGGGCTGGGCCAGTATCACAGTAACATCAGGTTAATGTCTTTGTTCGTGCTTAACAATCATACTATTCTCTGATGAACACGCTGTCTGACAGTTGACAGGAGATCCCCACCTGCCCAGTCACTAAGGGGAAGTTGTGCGATGACCTCACATGCAGTGATGTCAACTCATGCAATGTGAACAAGGCATGAACTGATACAGCAGTGTGTGTGTCTGTGTGTGTTTGAGACACTTTCCACCCCTCCCCACAATTCTTGTGCTGTGGGGAAACTTTGGCCGATGGCATCGCTGGGAACAGGTGCAAACCAGTTATTTGGAGAAGTGCAGATGTCCAGTGAGAAGTATATTAAACATTTAGTACATCTATTTACCTGCAGATTAACGAGGGGGATTTCTCGTGTTGGTTAGCAAGTGGAAACTGTCTTAGGAGGTATTTTGGCCATGTCTCTGCTTCTCAAAACAGACTTGACTGGGACAGACAGTGGTTGTTAGTGGAAACAGTGCTGATCCCTCCAAACTGATTTAATATCCAAATGGAGACATTCAAATCGCAACCAAATGTAACAGCGTAGTCATGGGACTTGGAGATTTCTGTAATGTTTTAGTGCCTCAAATCTCTTTAACGCCAGTTGTCAGTGCTTTTATCAGGTGTGTATGCAAAGTTGTCCTACTCATCGTAACGTGTGCCATGTGGTGGACAGTGGCATGAGTGTGTGTATTTTTAGCATGGCTCACACCAGTGGGAATTGAACCCTTAACCCTGGCAGTGTTAGCTCCATGCTCCAGAGACTGACAAGGCCCAGTTTGCATTTAGAGAGGGGCCAAAGAAAGTAACTAAGAAAATCATGTTTGACAGTTTTATACGTTGTTCAGCCAAACCGTATTTACCTTGAGTTTACATCACAGCCTGTCTGTGTGTGTGTTCACAGGAGGCCTTAGCTGCTTCAGGCAGAGTCACGAGAACCTGTGCGAACACTCGCTGCACCTTCACGAGGGATTAGACACGGGTGCAGCTGCTGGCCTGACGGGGGCGCTACCTCACTCCCTGCCCTCCACCCCGGACATAGAGAACGCAGAGCTGACGCCAATCCTGCCCTTCCTCTATCTGGGGAACGAGCACAACGCTCAGGACATCAACCTGCTGCAGCGCTTGAACATCGGCTACATCCTCAACGTGACCACCCACCTGCCGCTCTACCACTACGACACAGGCCTTTTCATCTACAAGCGCCTGCCCGCCACCGACAGTAACAAGCAGAACCTGCGCCAGTATTTCGAGGAGGCGTTTGAATTTATCGGTATGAGAACTGTCACTCAGTTTTGCACTAGAAGTTTGAACTACAGCTTTTTGTCTTGTGACCTTTTCAGACAATACATGGTCTATGTGAACTCCTCCTCACAGGTTCCATAGAGCTGTGAGCAGTTAAACCAAAGACTAATATTTACCTTCCCAGATTGTTTAACGTTGACACGTTCTGGAGGCTGGAAGAGGTTGAATTATCGATTGTTTTCATAGGAAAACAAGCAAACATGAGAGAGGAGTGAGAAAAAATAAAAATAATTCTGTGCACTAAAACTAGCAAGATTTATCCATCTAAGCTGAAAGAAATGTGTTCGAAGAAGCCGTCTCTCTTCACATCCTCTGAATACAGCCGTTTATAACTAAATCGAAGCTGTGGAGACTTACATTCCTCTGAAACTCTGGACTTTTAAAACATATATTTAAAAGAAAGTGTATGTGAAAAGAACATGTCTAGCACATAATTAGAACCCTAATTCAGTCGATTGAAGTATTACATACTGAAGACTAGGCCAGTACGTTGGCTAGAGATGTGCTCATCCACCTTTTTCTCTCTCAGTTCTGATTCAGATACGTCAGGGTATCTCCCTGCAGCAAATAGTCTTTTTCCTAAAATGTAAAATGTGTCTCTCTTATTGTGAGGAGCTCATTGGGATATGTGTTATGTACGGTAACATGAGGCCAGTGGTTGCCTGCTGTGGTGCTGAAAACTGACCTTGACCTAATGGATGTAACTGAGAGTGGAAACAGTGAATTTCTTTTAATGTCACTGATCAGGCTAATTACTCATATGATAACTGATTACTGAGCCTCCTGATAAGGTTAGTATCCAGGCACATACTGATCTGTGGATTCGTAATGGTGGCTCAGTGGTTTGCACGGGTCTTGTGTCTGATTTCTTGGCCCTGGTCCTTTATACAGTTAGAAACTTATTTAGTAATTGCATAGCTTTTTTTTTCTGCAATCAAAAATCCCAACTTAGTTGATCTGACGGTTTTAAATGGCAAGTGTTAGTATGGTTGTATGTTAGTAAGATTTGCAACAGGGTCTAATTCATGTTGACAGTTAATTAGGAAGTAGTTTGAAAATGGACAGATGTAAGTCGGGTAGTGGTAGCTGGGTATCGTATGAAATGCTATGATGCGGTACAGATACCCAAATGAAGGAATGTAAACATGTTTTCTACAAAATCTTGTTTTCATTTAACAAAAGCAATTGGATAAATTATAATCATATATAATTTAAATCAAGAAATATCTGATAAAAGGAGGAGTGAACCAGATGGTCAGTGGGAGGAGGCATTTGACAGTTTCTAACACTATTTCCTGTTTTTGGTAGTGGTGAAAAAATACTAAAAAATACTGAAAAATACTGAAAAATACTGAAAAGAGAGAGAGACAAAGGAGGTTTTAATATCTTATCACGCGTGATGACTGAACTTCCCCATGGGGAACAAAGCATTCGTTATATCGTGTTTTAATTGTTGCAATGTTCCTCTCTGCAGAGGAAGCACATCAAGCAGGTATGGGCCTTCTGATCCACTGCCAGGCAGGCGTGTCTCGTTCAGCCACCATCGTGATCGCCTACCTGATGAAGCACACCTGGATGACCATGACGGACGCCTACAAGTTTGTCAAAACCAGGAGGCCCATCATCTCCCCGAACCTCAACTTCATGGGCCAGCTGTTGGAGTTCGAGGAGGACCTCAACAACGGAATAACGCCACGAATCCTCACGCCAAAGCTGATTGGTGTGGAGACCGTCGTCTAAACGAACCCATCGTCTGACTCGCCACTCAGACGTGTGCTCACTCTCGCTGTTTTTCAAGAGAGACCAGCTGGTTTGGAGCTTGAGAGAGAGAGAGAGAGAGAGAGAGAGAGAGAGAGAAAGAGAGAGAGAGAGAGAGAGAGAGAGAGAGAGAGCTGCTGTATTCTTCTTGAATCTCCTCGTGCTCATCTTGGACTCTCTGGAGGTGCCAAAGCTCTGGGTCAGTGGTGATGTGAAATGCCAAAAATCCCTACTGTTTGGACCTGGCCGATGTCCCGGAGGAGAAGATGAGTTAGAGAGATAGAGAGGGAGCAAGTGGTCAGTGGGAAGATTTCCACTTGTGACTGCAGAGGAGCGAATATGAGGGAAAGGAAAATCGGTTTGGAAAAGATATTCAGTGTGCTTAGGGGCAATTACTGACAAGAGAAACTCTTAAAGCTCACACTGTGGCACACAGTTTATGTTTGCAGACTCAGGCGGGTTTGGCCATGGCAGTGCCTGTCAAAAAAAAAAAAAAAGAAAAAAGAAAAAAAAAAAAAGAACAAGATGAAGACATGTTTGGTGTGTTAATGTTGTTGTTCTATTTTTATACAGGGGTTTATGGGGGTGACCATGACAAGCCCACAGCGGCTTACTGTGCAATAATTTCAGAGTGGAATGCAACTGAGACCTTGATCTTATGTGTATATATGGGTAATGATTACGAAACATTTCCAGCTCTTTGCTGAAATACCATTTTGATGTTAATGTAATTACTGTTGTTGAGTTCTATACGTTTATGTTTATGGTGCAGACGGTTATGCTGTAATATTTGGCGCAGAGACAGAAAAAAAAAAGGGGGGTTTTATTTTTTTGAGTGCAGCTTATGGGTTTATGTCAGTTGAACCACAAGTTCATATATTTTATGTGTTTGCTTTGGTATTTTTTCGTTTTGCCATTCCTGCATCCACATATGCATATATTTTTAGCAATATATATTAATTAATATATATTACCAGACAGCCATAAGAGCTTTTTTTATGCATGGCTGCTGGCAGAGGAAAGAACACTTTGAAATAATCAGTGAATATTGTAAAACAGGGCTACTGGTGATGTTTAATGTAACAGAGCAGAGGATTTTCACTGCCTGCTTCTGTCTCCTCTGTTCTTTTTGCTCCGGTTCATCCATAAGCCAGCTCTGTTGTAATGTACTTCACTGTTTTACCGTCCCTGTGTAGCTACACATGATGTTTTTGTCAGTGCCCTTCATTTTGAACTATGATTTAGTCCGTTCTAAAGTAGCAGAGTTGAGGTTACACACTTCAAACGAACACGCACCTCTTTTAGCTCGACAGCGGTTGTACAGTAGAGCAGTGTGACCCTCGTCTAATCTCTTGCAACTCCCTGTCGCTGACACTAAGCTACAGTTAAGTGAGCTCTCCTCTGCCTTACGAAGGCAAGAGCTGCCGTCACGTGCTGTTCTAGTGCCTCTATCAATGCCTTAATTCATGTGTCACCAGTGGGCCTGCTCATGGTACAGCATCACGTGCAGACGAATGCAGATCACACCGAGGTCGAATTTGAGCTCCCAGACAAAAGCAACGTACTCCTCTTTGTCTCTGTTTAACGTACACATTTCTCTTTTCAAAGGTTATTTCTGCAATTCCTGATCAATGTGCAGAATATTGACGGAACTGCATTTAAAGATGCTGAAAAGCCTTGAGGTGAAAAATGCTCATTATGTAACTCTGATCTCGTGGTGGCATTTGAAGGAGAAACTGAGCACCACCGTGAATTGTAAACCGACTTGGCACTAAATAGTAGTGTAGTAAAGAGTATATGCACGCACACAAAGTTTACCCTCATCCTGTTGCATCTGAATATGCTCACCTTTGACTCGTATTGCAACAAATATATATAGATAGATATGAAGTGCAAAGGCTAAAAAAAGATAATTCTCATCTTGCTAGTGCTATTTCTTCATGCCTTCATTCTTATCCAAACCACAGATTTCTGAACTGTTAGTGAACAGAATCTCAATTTTGCAAATAAGCCTGGTTAGTTTTTACACATCTGGTTCTCTCAGCTGTTGACACTTTTAGTGGAAATGATAAAAAGGGAAATATTTTATGTAGCCATGTTGGATGCATGTGTTTTAAGGTGTAGTTCACTTGTCTTTTCAACCACTTGTATACAACTGAGCACACGGTATAAACACCTTGTCGAGATCAGTGTTGTTGTCTGAAAGCCTCGAGTGTCCAAAACTAAGAATAGCCTTGTTTTAGCCTGAGAACGATGCACTTTTGATCCGATTGGTTTTGATTTGATAAACCCAAGGGCTGATTAAAGTTTTTTCCAAGATATAACAGAGCATGCAGTCCTTCACTTGAAGTTAAAACACGAAATTCAGACCAAAACCAAAAAAAAAAAACAAGGTACAAGGTCAAAGTTCATCCAGTATTTTATAGTTCCTACCAAGCTGACTTGAAGCAGCTTCACAAATGGTGGTTCCTGTTCTGTTTATGTTCACATGTTCTTTTGATTTTCTTTTCAGCTCTCCATTGTTTGCATGAAAATAAAGGCATAAAACGAAGCACAGGGCTAACGATATCATTGTCAAAGTACCAACACCAACATCTGTTTTGCAACACCACCTTCATTATATCTTACAAAACTGAACCCACAAGTTTGTCAGATGGTCTCGTGTCTCTATCAGTAAGATGAAGGTAAATGTGAGGAGTTTTCACAGCGTCATGAATACAAACTCACAGTGCACTCAGTAAGGCTTTACAACACCAACATCCACAACAATAAGCTTCAAAAATCCCTCATGTGAAAATTCACGCTATGCAAAATGAAATTGTAACGGGATGTTTCTTTACCCAACTGTCATGAAATTGTTTTTTTTTTTTTTTTTTTTGTGAGGTCTCTGCGGACATCTCGAGCATGAATAACAAGTTTGCAGCCTCAGACTGAAGTGAGTTTTAAGTGTGACTTATTGACAACGAAGTTTGGAAAAAAAAAACAACAACAAAAAAAAAAAACCTTTGTGTGGCGACGTGTCCTCACTTGTATTTTTGTTGCTGTTGTCATTGGTGTCTACTGGTGCTCCACGATATATTTGAATATGATAAAAAAGGTATATAATAACCATTTAACACGCGTTTGTAGCTTGTGCATTTATATTCAGTGATTACTATTTGCAAAAAAAACAAAAAAACAACAACAAAAAAAAAACAAAGAAAAAGAAAAAAGAGAGTGCTTATCATCTGAGCCAATGTTATATAAGAATAATGTACCTTTTCGTCCCAACTGCCGGTTCCTACAACCGCAGCGGCACATGGCTTTTATATGTAATGATCTATTTGACTGAACAATGTAACCATCGTACTGTACATTACTCTCTCTGGTTGGAAAAGAAGCATGCTGTGTGCTCCTTGTCTGTGAGGGACACTCGCAGTCATTATGGTGCTGTCTGTCTTTCCCACACTGCTCTTTCTGTAGAGGTCGCAGTCTGACTGACAGCTCCAAGAGGCATCTGGATCTGTTCTCCTTTTATTTGGAAACACGGTTCTGTATTAGAACAATATCAAGCTGTCACGTTCTTTACGACTTATTTAAGAGTCTCTGCTTTGGGCTCAGAGGCTCCGGTGGAAACGGGCTTCGCTCTACAAGTCTCTGTATCTTTCTTTGTGTCTGTAGTCAACGGTCAAGTATATACAGTATATAAATATATATCTATTTTCTTTGTATGCATATATCCATTACTATTTTTGCACTGACCTACGGACAGATGGATTTATTTTTTTCCACAAAGGGTGCTACTATAACGGAGGCCTTCTCCCACACCTTTTTGCATGACTTGCTCAAAATTCCTCAACTGGTCTGTCATCTCTCCTACTCTTCTCCTACTACTCCTTGAACCGTTGCAATTGAAGCACTGTAATTTTGTAATCCCTACTTGTGAGCTTTGAAATAAACAGGGAGGCTTCAAGTTTGGTTTGGCGTCCTGGAACTTTGTTTTCTCTTGTGTCCTTCCTAACGCAGAGGGACTCGTCACTTTAGCGACAGGCAGAATAAAGGAGAAATGGGTTTCTGATTTGTTTCAGTGTCCCTACATGGACTGAACGTATGTTACTGAGTAAAAATGTAGATGTTTCCCATGTTGCTTTAAGCTGCTATAATCAATGTTTTTATATTAACAATGGATCGAATGACTGGGTTTAATGTGAAAGGGGTCGCTCGTAGCAATGAACCCACAGAGTTTAATTGTTGAGTCTATAAATCAGAAATGACTGAGCTCAAGGCTCAAGGTGATCTTCAAATTGCTTGTTTTGTCTGACCAACATGTCAAAACCCAAATACATTGAACTTACAATGATATAAAAAGCAGTTTGTGAAGCTAAAATGAGCAAATATTTGGCACTATATTTGGCTGAAGGACAACAATTAAATATGTCGATCAATTAGTGCAGTCCAGCTATACAAGAGACAAGTTACCTGAAACACATGAGTGTGAAAACATCTTGATATGAAAAGCGGAACAACAGATAAACAGGGAATGAAAATTTTCATGTGACCAAGGCCCCATGACGCAGCCGAAGCCAGGAAACAGAAGAAGCTCAGAAACTAATTATTGGGATCAATAACGACAAAACAAGCCTTACAGTGTGTATTTTAAGAGACAGCCTCGATCAGCCTCTTGACATTTGAGCATCCAGCGGAGTACACAGCCAGAGTTGTGAATTATCTGTGCTCCCCTCCATTGAACCATGTGTCACATAGCTGCAGGAGTTATGGGCCTATATTTACTCCAACTTTGCAGGCGTCTACTGCCTCATGGCTAGCGGGGAAGGGGTGTGTGTGTGTGTGTGTGTGTGTATGTGGGGCGCGGGAAGGGGGGGAGCGGTTGGCCTGAGGGTCAAGATCTCTCCATAGGAACAGGCACAAAAATAGTTTTTAGCGTTGTTTCTAATTACGAGTGATGAGTGCCCCGCCTCATTAATCCTTTCCTATCAGCACTGGGCAGGCGGGCAGCACCAGAATAGCCCTGATCTTTGTGCTGCCGCACGCCGCTCTCCAGCAAACCCTGCATGGACGTATTAGGCAAAGCAGGCCTGAGAGGAGGACCTACCTTTTCCTACACGCACACACAAACAGGTGCGCGCGCACACACACACACACACAGACACACAAAATCAAGTGTGTACATACTTTGCTGAGGAGGCGGTGAAATAAAGCAGAGGATCTCTGAGCCTGAGGACTGCTGCACTGGTTACCATCAAAGCTGCTCCCTTTGTCACAGGAAGATGCACTCGCACGACACCCGAACCAAGGCTTCACTAAATGTCACTACAGCAGCACTTTGCACTAACAACTCATGCATAAAATAACGCTGCTCATGTTAAGCAAACATTATTACAAAATTTGCCAAAGGATGATATGGATCGAGGTTAATGAGAGGAAAATGGGAACACAGAGGACACAGGCCTAACAGGGGACCTTAGGCTGCCTCTTGAAGATGACT